GAATCAACAGTCGGACATTTAGCCACCTGAGCCACCCAGGCGCCCTGGAGACTTTGTGTCTTTAAGGCCAGAAGTTTTAACAGGTGAACGCTGTTTCCCATGAGGAGAAGCAGAAGCAAAGCAAATCCTCTACAGGCTGTAACAGCCCAGAGTCTCCAGAAAACTGCATCATCCAAATCCGCTTTAAAGGTTTGCGAAAAGGAGGAAGGACACTCTGAGAAACCCTGGGGCATTGCTGGCTATCCTCGTCAACTAGAATACTAAAAACGCGCACATCAATTGCGGTGAAACTGTTGCTTGCAATGGATGTTGGCGTAGGAGGGTTGGGAACAAGGGGGTGCCCAGGGGCAACTCATTTATTGTTTCCAGCTCAACAGACCTCCACCCTCAGCCACTGGTTTTTCTCACAGGTAAAACAGGGCTCTTACAGGGTCTCGTCCAGGGGATAACAAGGCCCTGAGCCTCGTAAGTCATCATGGGTCTCGTGCCTTGAAGGACATCTATATTTGAGGGTCCTGTTCCGGGGACAGGTTGTGAGGAATCCGTTTGAATCTTGATGGCACATGCAGTATGGATTCCGCCAATGTCGTTTGAGGATTTTGCTTATAAAGGGCATAGTAGCTCCTCCAATAGGGACAAGTAACCAGTGTCCCCAGACCCGGCCCCGGTGCCATCAGAGAAGGAGCTAATAAAAGACGCCAAAGGGTCTTTTACTTTGAGTCCTGCTGTCAAATTGAGAGTTAATTCCCCCTTTTGGGAGAAAAAAAAATTCTAGCCTGATACTTTCCTGAGAAAGCTTGACCCAACAGATGACTAGTCAGAGGAAGTAAGGAGAAAGGGTGTGTGTCTCTCACAGGACCTAGACAAAAGGAAAGGGGCTCAGGGACAGGAAACTGTTGGGCTCCATTGGGGCCACCCACTATTTGAACTGTTTTGGTATTCCAGTATTCTAAGGCCGGGGCAGCTTCACAGCAGTGAGGTTGAACGGGAGTGTGGCCCCGGTGTCAGTAAGGACAGAGGGTCGTTCCCAATTTGGAGAGTAGTTTGAGCCAGTTAAGAGGGAAGATTGGGAAGAGCCCCTGTGCCTCTCTGGAGCCCCATTACTGGCAATTAGGAGGGCCTGGAAAGGCTGGCTGCAAGGCTGAAGGTGCCTGGTGTGCTTCAGCCCGTAAGTAGTAACAGTCTTTTCCAGTGTCCCGGCCGTTGGCAGCAATACCAGAAAACAGCCATGTTTGGTTCTGTCTAGAGGCCTTCGTTTGCCACAGTTGAAAATTAAGAATTTTAGCAGTTTTTCTTTTAGGCGATTCATCCAGGATGCACCCTGGCTGGTTTGCCAGATAACTCCATGTGGAGTGGATGTCATTTCCCATTCCATCCTGTTTTTTTTTTAAACGTTTATTTATTTTTGGGACAGAGAGAGACAGAGTATGAACGGGGGAGGGGCAGAGAGAGAGAGGGAGACACAGAATCGGAAACAGGCTCCAGGCTCCGAGCCATCAGCCCAGAGCCCGACGCGGGGCTCGAACTCACGGACCGCGAGATCGTGACCTGGCTGAAGTCGGACGCTTAACCGACTGCGCCACCCAGGCGCCCCCATCCTGGTTTTAACTAAGACCCGGGTTCAGTCTGTGAAATAAACAGAGTTAAATGCGACCCAGGTGGGCTCGACATCTAAAGACCAGAGGGGCACCTGCGTGGTGGCTCAGTAGGTTAAGCGTCCGACTCTTGATCTCGGCTCTGGCCATGATCTCATGGCTTCTTGAGTTCAAGCCCCGCATCGGGCTCTGTGCTGACAGCATGGAGTCTGCCTGGGATTCCCTCTCTCCTCTCTCTTAAAATAAATAAACACTTAAAAACATTTTTTAAAGAAGACCAGTATTTTCTTTGAAAGCGATCTGAAGTCAATTATAATAGTTTAAAAAAATTTTTTTTAATGTTTATTTTTGACAGAGAGACAGAGCATGAGCGGGGGAGGGGCAGAGAGAGAGGGAGACACAGCATTGGAAGCAGGCTCCAGGCTCTGAGCTGTCGGCATAGAGCCCGACGTGGGGATTGAACTCATGAACTGTCAGATCACGAACTGAGTCAAAGTTGGATGCTTAACCGCCTGAGCCGCCCAGGCGCCCCTGAAATCAATTGTGATTATTAATGAACAGGTTCATCAGCCCTTTTTGTGTTCTCTTTTTGCAAATATGAATTTTATTCCAATCAACAGGCTTGGGAAGAGCTACTGTAATCGCTTGGTGATTTCCAGTGAGTGTTCTAGCACCTTGCAAAATTACAGAGTTTAGTTTTTCTAAATCCCTTTCGGAATGTTCCCATCGGGCTAGGTTCATCCAGTATTTGGCCTGGGCTCATGCACTAAATGATAAAAATAAGAAACCAGGTTGGTAAGTTCGAATAAATGTTAAATTATTCAACAAACCTATGGCGGGGGCAGGTCCCAGTCACTTTAGGAAACTGCAACTAAGGCTCACGATTCAGCCTTGGGCCACGGAACATAAAAAATTCAAGGTTTATTTGGATCTTCGGAAGCCTTACCTTTAAGGAGGCAGGTGTGAATAGTTCAGGAGTGGAGGGAGACTCAGAGGAAAAGGGAAGTTTGACAAAAGGATTGGAGTGAGGCAGCAGCACTGTGTGGGAGTGGGGGCAGGTGCAGAGTGAGGAAGAGAAAGTGGCCCCAGAGCTGGGGCCCAAGCACAAGGTGGCTGTCAGCCTGGGGATAAGGACCACCGGGGGAGAGGAAATAAGAGTCCTCAGAGGCCATTTTGACTTATTTCGGTTGTTTGTCTGCCTCAGTTAATTCAGAAATGATATTTTTGTAAAGAGGCAAACTGAGAATCCTGAAAACGTCTGAAACCGTCAAGGCACCGATTAAGATGGGCATCCCGTCCAGGCTTGTGTGTTTCGAGGTTGTTTTTGATTTTTTCAAGTTGGAGCTTTGTGATTTAATTTTGAGCAAAACAATTTGAGGAAGATCAAACGTTCCCCATAATGGCTTTTGAAGTTAGAAATTATTTTTCGTTAAGTCTGTCCATTTGGTTAGAAATCCCATTAGGAGGGGGCATAGTTTTTAAACGTGGGTCCAGTCAGGATCCCAGAAAGGAGGGGCATGGCATGACCTCAAGAGCATTTTGGTGCCTAAGATCCTGTATCTTACGAACTTTTTTTCTAAAAAAAAAAAAAAAAAAAAAAAAAAGACCTAAACAGTTGCAAAAAGAAGTTGGACCAAAGGCCAAACAACTCTCAAAAAGGACAAAGCCTTAAAACATCGCAAGTAAGCCCGGAGAGCTCAAAACACAGAGCAAGACTCAAAATCCAGGAGCAAACCTACCCTCCAACCCCAAGGTGGGTGGCACACTTCGGGGAGCCCAGTGGGCTCTGTGGGCACCGGCACCTGTTTGCTCAACAGCCTGGAGTCACTAGGAGTCTTCTCCTCGTGTTGATTTTCACAGGGTGGTCAACA